ATACGGAATTGCAGATAAAAATATACATATACATTGGAAAATAAATTTGAAGATGACCAAACACCCTCATCATATACTCAAGTAGTTTATATAATTATGATTAGAGTGGTCAGGAACTCAACACAAATGAGATGTAAGCGTATAATACAATAGATAGATAATATGGAGACGAAGAAATAAATGTTGTTAGATTTCTCGGAAACCAAAAAAAAAACTGTAGTTAAGAAGAAGTTAGATATTTGATTTCATCATTCATAAAAATATCAAAATATATTTAGTTAGTATAGCGTACTTGAAAATAGTTATATTGGCCTCCTTCAAAGAGACGTTGACTCGGAAGTTGATTTCAATCGGTCTTAGTTTGGCAGAGGCAGAACCGAGGGCAAAACTTTCAAACTAAGAAATAGATACCGCCCTGTATAGTGTATGCCTTCAATGCTCTGTCATCCAATGTAATATATCCTTTTCGGATCTGTCTGTGCAGTAATGAAAGGCGACAGTCGGAGGTAAATAAGAAATATTCACCCTCTTGGGGTGAGCAATCGCTATTGTCTCGGGGTGGCCTCCCCACAAGATATCGATATTTAATCTGCTTTCTAATAATGGAAAGGTACCTACGACCCTGACGTGGGAATTGGGATTTGATAAAGCAAAATGAAAATGTCAGTAATGTCATGATGTCACGCGAATCACCTTATTCGATGTAAGACTTTTTCTTGAAAGTTTACCTTAGGTTGGATTTAACACATTATTGACTTTTGGCCCCATCAGTTTCAATGGGGAAGTATACCAAATTTTATTTCAATATCACAATTATTTTGAAATTTATTAACAAAAAACGAAAATGAGATTTCAACTTTGACACTCTGTATCTCAGAAACGAATAACTTTCGGACATCTATTTATGCAAACTTTTCTTCTTATTTTGACGTCAGCAACATGCTCCTGAATTTTCTACACGTACTTAAGAAACACCCTGTATACGTTTTTTTTTTTCGAAAGATCAAACTTCACTTCATAAAAAAATTGACGAAAGAGGAACTTGGCTCCTCCACCATTCCTATGACGTATTTTCTGAAAATTCACATTCACACAGAGTTAAAATGAGATTCCCTGTGCCAGTACGACGTTGCCGACATCATCAATATGTCTAGATTTCAGGAAATTGTTCTCTGAATGCATAATAACTATATCATAACAGCAATGGGATATAATAAGTTCTTCAATCCTACTTTGTCAAGTATTATGAATAATTCCCATAAATCTCTCATTGGCTGAAGGAAGTTGATTACTAATAAAGATAAATTACGATATTTCGCGATAGTATCTATAATTTTTCACTATTGTTACATTACAATATATTATTCATAACTTTTCAGTAATTTTTTTGCTAATGAATTCGTTCCTTAATAAAACGGTTCTATTTTCTAAGAAAGTTGCAGATTATATCTTGCAACAGCGCCTATTACTTCGAGTCCGTCCACTCCACTCAAAATACTGACAGGAACAACCTGTTCTGACCCACTTCTGACCGAAGACAGTAACGTAGGAAGGATAGTATCATTGAATGTAGCCGATAGTGATTCAATGATTTTCTCGATTAGGATCGAGATCTATCCGAGATATTTCAATGCACAAATAACAAAACCATAATCTGTCAGAATGAAGCCAACTACCTTTTGCATTCCTGCTCCGAGCGCATTTGTGGTTATGTATATTTTTGTTTACCAGTTTTACTTCTACTTCTATTTTTTTCATTCGTTAGCTATTCGTTAGCTATTCGCTAGCTATATTCTTCACCATCAGCTATTTCCAGATTAGATTCAGAATGTACAGTCGTCTTCAGAAAACATGTCGCACATGGACGATGATAGCATTCTTAATAGCTCCTGCAATGAGAGCGCTGACATCGTCCAACCGCGACATGATGTCTGAAGACGACTGTACGTCTCAGTTTGCCGCCCCGAAAATTAGAAATTGCTTCAATTTGAAAATAAAAACGACTTGGACTTCATCGGTCGTCATTCTGTACAGCGTGGACATAAAACTGGAGAGTTTCGAACTAATTTAATAAAAATTTCCCCATTGATTTTTGGATTTTTTAGTGCGTTTTTTCAGGGGCACGGGTACCTTTGGTTCTTTCCTGTTTGCAACCTAATATGGTTTTCATGAGCATCTTTGAGTGCCCATTTATTCTCAACCCTTCTCCACCAATATAACTACGATATTATGATGATAGACTTCGGCATCCAATTCAAAATATTGTTTCACCTCCATTAACTCCTAATAACGGATGAAGATAGACTTTTATGAGTTCGAAACATGTCCCCTTAATTGATTTACATCAGTAATAAAGTAGTGGAGATGCCTTTGAGCTTTTCTTCTTCCTTTTGAAAAATTCCACTCTACTTTGAGCAAACATAGACTTCTACCAGAGATTAAAAACAATTCAATAATTTACCGATCAGGGCAGGAAGATTTGATACAAGTTCAGACTAGGAGTCCAATTTTCACATCATCCTGCATGTGTAACACCTATTCTGTGCATTAATTCCGGCAGTGACTCAACTCTTTCACTTCTGACTTTCTTGATTCCAACAACTCCATGATGTAACGATGCGATTGTAACGATTGAATAGACTTTTAAATTGAATCCAAACTGGTTTGCAGGCAGCATCTGAGAATCTGAGTCTGCATCTACTTTTCGTCCATTCTTCGTTCAATATTAACTTTTTTGATGCTCCGACTAGGTATGAGGTAAGCTACCCAATATAGAAATATTGACCAGCATTCGTGTTAATGTAAAAACATAATTTATGCTCGGCAGATAGTGGGTTGGTTGTTGAATTAACCTTACTTTTATAGCTCTATGGAGGTTTATCACCCATTATTTGCGTTAATTTATTTGATACGGGTCTGGAATTATGTTCATCAGGTGAAAAAATGCAAAAGTAACCATGACATGAATAGAATAAGTGAAGACGTCACCCTGATGAGGGTTATTGAAGAACAACTTGAGACTTCGCTGGTCAGTGAGAAAATCATATTATATGAGATGTAATGATAAAAAAGATAAATACTGTCTGTAGGTTAATCGAGGAGGTGATAAATTCATTATTCCAAATTTTTTGGGATTTTCTCTCCTCGTTTCTATAAAATAAAGATATGAATATTATTTCAATATACGTGTAGTAAGGATAAATCAGATGATTTGCCCCAAAATGTCACTGCGTTTAAAGAATTTTCCTATCAGAGAGCCTAAAAGAAAAATGCACTAGCTTGTCAGTGACAATTTGTATTGAAAAAATGTTTGGAGAAGAGAAATAAAGGTATATAGAAAAAATATCAAATTTTCACTTATCTTTGGACGTTTCGGGACCGATTCTGCTCCCGTTATCAACAATAAAAGAGATTATTTCAATAGCGAAGTCGTATAATATTTATGTCTTGAAGCTTTTCAGTTTTCAATGACAATTGGTGACGTTTTTATCAATAATTCAGTCATGCTTTTAGCTCCTCTGTTTTCAATAATCACTATGTATCAATTATATCCTTTAGAGAAAACATTCGAATTAACTAAATCTTTCAATTAAAGTATACTTACTCGGAAAGTCTCTTGAATGCATCAACAAGTTTTTTTTATGTTCTGGTTCCCACGAAAAAGGATATCCTGTAATGTTCAGAGAACATCGTGAGAACCAAGGGAAATAAGGTAGGAATTTGTGTTCTTCTTGAATTTCTGGAGGTTATATGCCTCAGGAAACACCTCCCTTGGGAATGTGTTCCAGACTCCAGAGCCTCGCTGTTCGTTGGATAAACGAATCTTTGGAAAAAGATGTTCTGCAGGTCTCCAAAGTGACCACGAAGGGGTGCGAAGTCTCAACTCGACGGGTTAATCTCACCGGGACTGCCAAGGGAGGAACAATTATTGATATTTCAGAAGAGCATCATCCATGAAAATATCTACAAAATAGAGCCAGATCGCCAACTTTTCTACGGTGTTCCAGAGAAGTGAGTGAGTTTGTGAGCGAGGCATCACCCACGAGACGAATTGCCCTTTGTTGGACAGAATCCAACAGTTTCAGGGTATGTTTGAGTGCTGCACTCCAAATTTGGGAACAGTATTCCAGGACAGGTCGGATCTGTGCCTTATAGATCATAAGCAGCTGACTGGAAGTGAAATAGCTCCTGGCCCGAAACAGAAAACTAAGTTTTTTGGATGCACTTTTAGAAATAGATCTCACGTGATTTCCCCAAGAAAAGTTATTGCCGATAGTAATACCAAGCATCGGAATGGATGTCTTCAAAGGTATGGTTACTCCTGACAAGCTTATGTTGGGCACATTGAGATCGGCTTTTCTAGAGAAAAGGCATGCTTGTGTTTTGTTTGCATTGAAATCCAAGTTATTGGATTCCCATTCGAGAATCATTGTTGCGAAGTCCATATTTATGTTGTCAACATTTCTCTCTCGTTCGTTTTTGATTTGCCTGACTTGTATTGAAGCCCTGGATGAGAAGGCGGTATGGAGGGTACTACCATCCGCGAAGCTGTGCACTGGACATGAAGTTGATGTGGAGTAGAAATAGTATTGGTGCTAGAATTGATCCTTGCGGAATTTGGAACCATAATGAATATACCACTCGGCATGAACACAAATATATATATACAAGTTTTTATCAATAATTCAGTCATGCTTTTAGCTCCTCTGTTTTCAATAATCACTATGTATCAATTATATCACGTTTCAAACATAGCTGTGACTCATATTAATAATCATATAAGTGTTGATGTCTTGAAAGGAAGAACGCCAAATATGAAGTAATTTCCATATATAAAACAGCATTAGTCATGAATTACCTAATGAAACAACATAATCCATCATGTCCTTTGGAGAAAACATTTGAATAAACTAAATCTTACTTGGAAAGTCTCTTGAATGCATCAACAAGTAATGCATATTATTGTATGTAAGTGATACTCGAATAAAATTCAAACTTACGTTTTATTGGTTTGCATTTTTATCGTTAAAATAATTTAAACCACATGTCACACAGACGATAGTAATACTAAACATTTCATTATAACTATAATTATTGAACTAATGGGACTGTACATTTTACGTAAATGCGTTAAGCCAATAATAAAATCCAATTTGTTTGGTAAACATACTGACAGACAGTATCGATCAAGCAATTTTGTAGAAATGGCTATAGGCTATAATTGTAAGGACATAAATAAATTGATAGGGCGATAATGCATCCATTCCGTCAAAGTCGTAAAACAATCAAATTGTTAAAAGTTTCAATAAAATCAATGTATAGCAGGGTTATCCGTAGCCATTAGGTTACTTTATTGATATTATTCGAATCATCAAACTATCACTAAGTACATATCGAAGAAATCACCAAATTGTATTTTTTGTCCAGACCCGAAAGCGTGATGCTCAATCGGTTTTTTATTCAGGTAGACATGTATAGTTACGATCCACAAATCTATAAATTTTTGTTATTCGATAATACAATAAACAGAGAGGTCTAATTTTGTATACACAAAGGCAAAAGGGTTCTTTTACAAAATACACTCGCCATCTGAAGCAATCAGGGGCCGTCACTCAGAACACTCACAAAACAAACATCTGATCGAGAATTTATCGATCGAAATGACCCATTTTTCTATTTACACCAACTGTCACATCTACCATATCATCCAATTTTCATATAACTATTCAGGAATTGTCAATTAATTGGAACGAGAAATTAGGACTGTTGGCACAATGACAGAATTTTACTGATGCATCGATGGTTCGTATTAACTGCAATTTTCATATCAAAAGAGAATTAATAAACAACAATAATTATTTGTAGCTCAATGAGGAAAACACGAGGGAAAACCTGTGGAAATGATTTTTTTATTGCAATCAGCAAAATTTCTCGATGACTGCTGTGATATAGATATTTTTACATTTAGTAGTAGCGAAATAAAAGGCTGTTCTCCACCCTTTAATATTCTCAAAATTCTTAGTTATAGGCTATATATGTTCAATATTTTTGAAAAAGTTTGTCATGAACGTCTTGATATTATATCTTAACTCAACTGTTTTCCCAAAACTTGAGTGTATTGTAATTATAATCTTTTTGTGTAGTGTATTTCTCTTTTTTTTTGGTGAGTAGTGTATTTTAATGTAGGATAGGAACCGAGATAGGAACTGTCTGTCTGTAATTGGGCCATGGCCTGTTGATTTGGCAGTATAAATAAAGTGATATATAAAATGACACCAGTGCAATATGAAAGTGGAAACACCATCACTCTGTATAGGATGGTATAGGTATGCAATTTCCAATCGTGCTAACTAGTGAAAATAGTAGATATATCTATATATTTATTATGAAATCGTATGATATTTTATAAAATCATCAGCATTATATTGACAAAGAAGAAACCGTTACATGCACTTCCTCAATTATACAGCCGCAGTTGCTTTAGAGAGCTTAGAGGAAGCTAGAACTCTATAATAATTCAGAATTCAGCTAGAAGTATTGCATTTACTTAAAAACTATCATCATCTTTCCATCAGACCACAATTTTCGATATATTTTATTCATTTGTAGAAATGATATCTAATTGGATATTAAACATGAAACGATGGCATAAATTACTATTGACTAGACTAATTAACATCTTATAGATATAATGCTGATGATTGAAGTACCGATTTCCTCTATTCATAACACACTTCCGTTGGGAATTTATATGTACAACATACTAACACAGTTGAGAGAATATTACATATACTATTCTCTCAACTGTGATACTAATCATATTATATGAAACCCATAACGATTCCTTTTACGTACAATTAGAAATTCACAGTTATATTCATTTGACATCAGATAATTTACTCGGGAAGAATTTTCAAGCGCTCAGGTCTCATTGAAGAATATCAAATGACTTTTAAAAAAATGGATTATAGAAAGCTATAGATCCATTGTTTTTGGTTCAGAAGATTTCACTTGTCGCATCCTGTATCCAGGCTGAAATTACATAGAAAGATTTCAACCTCAAATTCTGGGAACAAAAATAGTGACAAAACTTCATTATCATGAGGGTCCAGAAATCGCCCCCTGGTTTTTGTGAATATTTTAGAAACCCTTTGTGAAACAAAAAATAGTTATTTATTATACAAGGGAAAAAAGTTGTGGATTTTAGCTCCAGGTTATGTTGTCTCCCGACGCGTAGGGGAGGGAGACAAAAAACCGTGAGCTAAAATCTAATATTTTTCCCGTGTATAATACACTATTTTTTTCTGTGACAGAAGAAAGGACGAATCAATATTGAGAACATATTACATTATTTTCAAATCTGAAAATTATCGACGTGAAATTTTATGTTTTTAACAGTAGGGACACCTGCGTTGTAGGCATCTTTATCCTTTTTTTGAAGTAATCAAATATCTGATGTCACTTCTGTCAGTCTAATTCTGTGATTTGATTTCAAAAAATTGCGAATTTAGTGGTTGTTTAGTAATATACGTAACCGCCTCGGTAACCGCGTAGTATGGAAGATAAAAGTACTTGCAGTTCTTTCTCGGAGACGGTATTATTGACTCATTTTTCGGAACTATAGCACAACAAAAGCCATCAACAGTGTATATATATATGTGATATATATCCGGGAAAAAAGTAATTTATGAAAAGTGACATTTCATAACCTGCCAACAGAGATGAAATGCCAAACTTTTTTCCCGTCACAGAAAAAACAAATTTTGTACATGCACCTAAATATGTATGCCTTATTTGGAAATGTTAAGAATTTTCCGATACTTTGATCAGGGATGTGGAAAAAAGGTGGGGCTCGGGGCACTGTTTTTCACTATTTTTGTTCCTATTATCTGTGGTTGTAATCTTTCTATGTTATTTCGGGACACCATGTAAAAGCCACAATAAAACATCCGATAATATTGATTAGCAGATCTATAAAGGTAGCAAAAGAGGTCATCAGATTAAAACCCTATAGACTGAAATGTCGTCGCTATAAAATTGGTTCATTAAAAATATACGTATACATGGAATCTGGTAAACAACAAATCGCATGAATATTGTATTCGAGATAGCAATAACAACCATGTTGAATATGCAATTATCTGTTTTTCTTTCTATCAATTTAAAAGCCATTATAAATGAGTGGGTTTAATTATCAGTTATTGAAGATTGACTTACATGAAAAGGGGTTATCAGTTATTTGAAATTTTAATTTAAAAAAAATATTTGTGAGAAATTTGACTCATTTCATAGTTGAAAATGGAATAAAATGATATGGAAACATAAAGGATCGTATCAAAATAATTTTCTATTTTTTTCAGTGTGTTGAAGAATCTACAGGAAACCGGGATTGTGCTTACAATTAATTAGATTCTTTCATTTTTATTGAACACAGACCGCCGTTGTCATCAGATACTGTGTAATTTGTTTATAAATAGATGCTGGAATAATTCAGATTCCATGACATTTGACTCTTAACGTTTGTCACGTTTATTTTTAGACCTTAAAATCACTGATGATGATGTTCAGTATACTTTTTCTAATACCGGATGTCTCAAAATAGCAGCGACCAATAAGTTCAAAGCGATCTTAATTCGAAGAAAAATATTCTATACATCGGCATTAAAATGTACGGAAATTCACATACACTTTTTTTATTTCTTGGAGCGCACGAAAGGAAATTCCTATTATGTTCGAAGAACATCGTGCGCAGAGATTCACGGCTTGACTTGATATTCAAGCTACTTGACTTGACTTGACTTGAAATCAAGTCAAGTTCAAGTCAAGCGAAAGTTTTTTAATGTCAAGTCAAGTCAAGTAATTATTTATCAAGTACTTGAAAAATCAAGTAGTTCTATCAAGCTACTTGATTTTCAGCAGTTTTATTGTGTATCTATACAGCGTGACTCACGGTCGATGTTATAGGTTAGACGTTTATGGAGAACGCGACGCGGGATTTTTCTGAAAATTTCGCATGCACAAAAAATTCCTGGAGTTGAAAAATCTCGATTTTTCGCACTCTATATCTCCATAATCTTTTCCGCTATACCCCGAGTGTGATGTATCGATGAAATCAACTCTTCAAGGAGAATGTGAAAATGCAATAAAATACAGGGTGTTCAATTCGAAATAACAAAGTGGTTCCTACTTTTCTATAGAAGCGGCAACGTCGTGATTTTGAAAATATATTAGATCGATAGTACCGGTGATGAAATGTCAGATACGAAATTTTCAGAAAAATCCTGCGTTGCGTTCCTATCATAAACGTGAACGTCTATAACCTACCATCGACCGTGAGTCACCCTGTATATAACTGATGAAATGAAAATGGCATCGTAAAAGACTGACTGCGCGATCGATTCAGTCAGCTCGGATCTCGGGGAACCCCCGTATTTTGTCTAAGCGTGAGCGAGCTTGCAGAAATATACGCCGTGCGACTCGTGCGTATCAAGATCAAGTATTATCAAGTAGCTTGATTTCAAGTCAAGTAATAAATATCTCAAATTCAAGTCAAGTCAAGTACGTAATTTGCCACGGGCTTGATTTTCAAGTCAAGTCAAGTAGTTTGTTAAAATATCAAGCTACTTGACTTGATGAATCTCTGATCGTGCGTACCTATAGGGAAGATAGGGAGAGGAAGTAGGAACTGGTTATAAGTATATAGGCTCTTTCGTTTAATGGAAGAACGCGTTTTAGTATAGGTTTACAACGAAAGGATGTGCTGACTGTGCCTGTCGAGTTCGTCTGACTGAAATTGCTAGTAATGGAATTTTAGGGATTTCTGAGGAGCATTTCCCGTGGAAGTATCGATAGAAAAGTGGAAGGTCGCCGACTTTTCTACGGTGTTCTGATGAGGTCAAAGTACTAGTGAGTGTGGCATCACCCACCAGACGAATGGCTTTTCTCTGGATGGAATCTGAGAGCATCAACGTATGTTTGGGTGCTGAACCCCATATGTAAGAACAGTATTCTGAAATTGTCCGTATCTGAGGTGCTGTTTTAGGTGTAAAGTACATTTTCGCACGAAATA